CCCACACCCACACTTACACACCCACACCCACACACCCAGCCACACCCCTACAGACACCCACATCCTAAGCCTCACTCTGTCTTTTTGTATTCCATGTTTTATGTCATATGTTATTGTTACTTTATGTTGCAGGTGGACGGGAATGACGCAATAGTTTTTCCTTTAGATTTTATATATATTAGTATTAACATGCTATAAGAATCATCATTTCCAGTTCATAACAACATCCACTCTCTTTCCAGTGTATTGATATCTCCTTGGTGTTTGCCGAAGCAATACGGAGGACCCACAACGGAGAGAGCGTTTCGTACTTGTTTAGTAATGTTCCATATCACTAGGACTCATCCTTGTACATAACTACTTGTGTGGTCAAAGCACTGTTGTACCATCATGCTACATATGTTTATTAATGTTGGAGTATGAATGGTACTGGTGCCTAAATTGTCTTTTTTTTTTTTTTTTTTTTTTTTCTCTCTCTCTCTCTCCTCACATGTGTATTATATACAGGATATATAGATCAACAAAAACTGATAAAAAAAAAAAAATATATATAGGATAAAGGAATAAGAATCCCATCTCCCAATTGGCATATGTAGGAGTGCCTATTTTTATACCGCATCAGGCCTGTGAGTAATATATTAATGTAATGTAATGCCTTATACTAAATGATTAATAATTAATCACACCCATTTCTCTCCCTTGATGCAGATGCAAAGGGACAAGTTGAAGAAATAAAAGATATCTTTTGTTATATTGTCTAAATATGTTTTGAGAGCATATATATATTTTCAATAAATTTCCCAAATTTTTGTATTTCAAAGATATTGACTCGCTGCCCTGTCCTTACCCGAGTGTGCTTGGTTCCGGAAGCTGAAAATTTATGAGTGTGAGTGTGGGTTACCTGGAGCAGTTAGTTGCTGTTGCTATGGTGAATGAAGTACAGATGATAAACAAGAGTAATGATCTAAGAAGCATGCATGTACACACCATTTAATACTACATACACAGGCACACACAGACATCAGTTGGCAAACGCATGCATACATTCTCAGGCACATGTATCAAAGGGTACTTACATGTGTCCCCACAGATATACAATTGCAACCACACAAACACACACACATATCCCTGAAGATGTATACACTTGTCCCACAAACAGACATATGTCTCCACAGTTGCATGCGCATGTCTCACCACACACACATCTTTGCAGATGTGTACACACCTCCAGAGATACATGCATGTGTCTCAATGCACACATTCACATAGAGGGGCACACACACGTCTCTACAGGGGCATGCATGAACATATCTGCAGGCACGCACATCTCTACAACCACACAGGCATTCCTGGAGATGTGCATTTGATCATTCAGGCACATATAGGCATCCCCACAGACACATGCAGGCTTGCCAACAGTGCATATTCATTGACACACAGCAGTACATGCATACATACATTAATTACCTGCATATTCACACACTGGTAACCTTGCACAGAACATGCACACATGCATGTAGGATGCACACATGCAACGAGAGGGAGTGTGCTCATGCATGCATGTAGAGCTGCACAGGCACATGCACATGCATGCTTGTAAAGTTTCACAAGCTCATGCACACCTGGCTGCACAGGCAAATGCACGCAGTACAGGTGCATGCGCATGCATGGAGAGCTGCACAAGAAGAGGCACATGCATTCAGACCTGCACAGGCACAGGCACCTACATGCAGAATTGCATAGGAACATGCATGCAGAATTGCACAGGAACATGCATGCAGAATTGCACAGGAACATGCATGCAGAATTGCACAGGCACAGGCATGCAGCTCAGGCACCTACATGCAGAGTTGCACATGCACGCAGCACAGGAACAGGCACAGGCATATGCACAGGCATGCAACACAGATGCAGGCACAGGTATGCAGCACAGGCACACAGCACAGGTATGCAGCACAGGCACGCAGCACAGGCACGCAGCACAGGCACGCAGCACAGGCACGCAGCACAGGCACGCAGCACAGGCACGCAGCACAGGCACGCAGCACAGGCACGCAGCACAGGCACGCAGCACAGGCACGCAGCACAGGCACGCAGCACAGGCACGCAGCACAGGCACGCAGCACAGGCACGCAGCACAGGCACGCAGCACAGGCACGCAGCACAGGCACGCAGCACAGGCACGCAGCACAGGCACGCAGCACAGGCACGCAGCACAGGCACGCAGCACAGGCAAGCACAGGAACATGCACACGCACACGCACACGCACACGCATACGCATACGCACACGTACATGCACACGTACATGCACACACACAGGAACATGCACACAGCACAGGCACTTAGCACAGGCACAGGCACAGGCACATGCACATAGCACAGGCATGTAGCAGAGGCACTGGCACGTAGCACAGGCACAGGCACATAGCACAGGCATGTAACACAGGCACGGGCACAGGCACAGGCACGCTGCACAGGAACATGCACACAGCACAGACACGTAGCACAGGCACAGGCACAGGCACAGGCATATGCTCAGGCATATGCACAGGCACATGCACCCAGCACATGCACCCAGCACATGCACCCAGCACAGGCACCCAGCACAGGCACCCAGCACAGGCACCCAGCACAGGCACCCAGCACAGGCACGCGCACCCAGCACATGCACCCAGCACATGCACCCAGCACAGGCACCCAGCACAGGCACCCAGCACAGGCACCCAGCACAGGCACCCAGCACAGGCACCCAGCACAGGCACCCAGCACAGGCACCCAGCACAGGCACCCAGCACAGGCACCCAGCACAGGCACCCAGCACAGGCACCCAGCACAGGCACCCAGCACAGGCACCCAGCACAGGCACCCAGAACAGGCACCCAGCACAGGCACCCAGCACAGGCACCCAGCACAGGCACCCAGCACAGGCACCCAGCACAGGCACCCAGCACAGGCACCCAGCACAGGCACCCAGCACAGGCACCCAGCACAGGCACCCAGCACAGGCACCCAGCACAGGCACCCAGCACAGGCACATGCACGCAGCAAGGCACATGCACGCAGCACAGGGACAGGCACAAGCACAGGCGAAGGCACTTGCACATGCATGTAAGGACATGCAAGCTGATGGTGCACATGGAAGCATGTGGGCCAGACAAGCACATGTTGGCACATAGACAGTGGTGCACAGCTGACGCAGGCATGTAAAGATGCACAGGCATTCACTTTCATGCACCAACTTTTGGACATCCTTACATAGAGACAGGGATACATTTGTACATAGTATACCTGCAGAGAGATGCCAGCAGCGTTTGTACACATGTGGATGCAAATAAGTATTAATACAGATGCATATGCATGCATGTACACAGCACATGGATATGTACACACACATTCACAGATACACATGCATATACACACAAACAGACAAATGCATGCACAGATAAAAATATACACACACATAAGCACATGAATACATATATGCACATATTCACAAGAATGTATATTCATGTATATAAGCAGATGTGCGCACACGCACACGCACACGCACATGTGTCTGCATATAAAACTACATATGTACCCATGCATCTGTGCACACATGCCTTTGCCTCCCATGCTTAGAAATGCATGCACACAGATGCACACACATACACAAATATACACATATCTATCTATAAATACACATTGGTATGTTTGTGCACATGCATTTACAAATTTTTACATATACACAAGTTACATTCACAATTATGGTGTAGTTTTGAGAGTGGTTATGTTGAGAAAGTATATTCAACGTGTGTGTGTGGGGGGGGGGGGCGCGTGCGTGTGCGTGCAGTATGTCAATCTGATACAGCTTTTGTGTCTACTGGTTTATTGTACTTAAGATTCCAAACCTTTTATGAATGTTAAGGGAAGATTGTACCTCTGAAAGACAGTGAATGGTGTGGTGCACATGGATTTGTATTCTCATTGGTAGATATTTTTTTTTTTATAATTTACTGTATTGCATATATACTTTTTGTCTACTTTTTATATGAGTATTTGAAAGTAATGGTCTGTGTTATAAAGGTTGATACATTAGAGGAGATTTTGGTGTATCAGATCACTAACATTATTCTGCAAGTTATGGGCATTGAATACCATTTTTCACATACCAAAAATGGATGACAAAGCAGGATTATGAGTGGTGGTTGATATTAATGCGTGCTGAATCAACTCTGTTTTAAGCCAAATTTGATTTATTTTGTGTATTGGAAAGAAAAATGTTGGAGACAGATTAGGATCCCACCTTTAGGATGGAACTAGGTTTGATAGTTTGCCTTGCTTTGTTGGAAAAATAGGATAGAGTGTAGAGTGGACATTAAGAAAGTTTGAATATGGGTATTTGTTACTACACAAAGGCATATTATACAGAGATCTGAGAGTATAGAATGGTGTGGGTTTATTTGATTTCTTTCTCTCCTAATTTTGCCTTCTGTGGATGATCACTTAAAAAAAATTGTTTGCATTGTGTTGGGGTTAGATTTTCATTGATGAACTCTTTCTACACAGCTGTAATATACATTTTACTGTAACTTTATCAGTGATACATATTTTAACTAAGCTTGAGCTTAGAGAAAACAATAAATGGAGGTTAAGGTACTTTGAATTCATAAAATGAGGTTATATTTGTGGTATGCTGGATAGCAAGTTGTAAATATGAGAAAGATATGTTTGAAGGATAGTATATTCATTATATTAGATATTCAAGGGCTTAACTCTCAAGCTATTGATATATGCATGAAGATGGGGCTATGAAAGAGGTAAAACTACTTTTTGAGTATAACAGTTATATAACATTCAACTAAATTGTTTGTGAGAATGGTGCAAAAATGAGAGTGAGGATGGAATTGTACCTGTCTTTTATTGCCTGTTATTGTTGGATTTGTCATTCCTGTAGGTTGTTATAGATAATATTGTTCCTTTCCTGGGATATTGCTTACAAAAGACACATTAGAGGTAACATTTAATTAGAAGGATCAGAGTTTGTATTATTGGTTCTCATGAACTTGTGAAAATATGAACTCTGTTGGTTTGTAACATGAAAATTTAAAGTATATATCATTTAGCTCTTAAGATGTTTGGTGAATTTGCCATCACCAAATGCTTGCGATTATTAAAAATTCAATGTTGCCTTGATAAAGAATACTATACGAATATAGTCATGATAGGAGTCTCAGCCTAAATTATGATGAATTACGAGTAAAATTCACAGTTGCTCAATTTAATTTATTCTTCAATATGAAAGAACAAAGCCAGTGAATACAGTTATAGATTTCAGATAATTATTATCCACGTAATGTAAGTTTAAGACTCTTTTTGAGGTTTTCATATGTACAGCTTTGTCATCTACAGTGAACAGGAGAGATTGTGTTGAATGTTATTTCAGGGTGGAAAGGCACTGTAGATTTCACTAAAAAAGCCATGAATTATTTTTGAGGCCAGTTTTATTAAAAGTGGATTTATGAATTGGAATGTAGTTCATTTTCCTGTGCAATCATTATTAGAATCAGAATATTTTGTTATTTCATTGTGTTATATTTATGATTGTGTATAATTTAAGAGTTGTAATAAACTTGACTACAAAAATGTAAAGAAGTAAATTCAGTTCTAGAAAAAAGTCATACATTTCCTCATTAAGAAAAGTATTGAAGATAGGATTTTTATATCTTCAGCTGAAGACATGTTATTTCATTTGTGATGTATTTTACACAACCTGGAAAGATATGTTACATAATAATTAGTAGTTTCATGTATCCCCATAATGATGATGGTAAAGAACTGTGTGTGTGGAGACAGGGAGAATCTGTGTGTGTGTGATTATGTGTAGATTTTATTATTCTTTCTTGATATATATATTTTTTTCTTTGTTTACACTAGTTGTTTGTACTGTGTATTTATATACCAATTTTTTATTGAATTGAGCAGCTTAATTGGAGAATCTCTATGATATTTAATTGGGGATGGGAGTGTGAAAAAAGTTCTCTCTGGTAACCCAACCTCAGTCCAATTCTGTTTCAGTTAGCCACCTACTGGGGTTTGCACACAGTCAGCTGCTCGAGTAAAAATTCAAAGTTTGAGAAATGTAGAGTTACTCTGCTCTAAGGAAATGAAGCAAAGTCAGACAAAGCTGACTGTATTTCCTCATGAACTGCAGTCAGGGCCACACAAGTAAGAAACTGCTCAGTGCACACAACTCCGAACAATCTGAGCTGTGGGTATTTGTCACCTGGCATTTAGGCCTGGTTCATCATGAATTTAGATATCACCCGCTGCTTTCTTGTTTTGGCAGAAAGGAATATCCCCCCCATTCATTGGTCTAGAAAGCATGTTGGTAGTTTAAGAGTAGTTCCACGCCAGTAACCCAATGCCTGGCATTACTTTCTTGGATGTAATTTATGATCTGTGGCCGTGGGTCGGAATGTTTATGCGAATTTCAAAATGATGAATGCCAGACATGCATCGGCAAGTTGTGCGCCAGTGCATAGTAGAATACACTTGTTTTGATGCACCGATGCACCAAGATGGGAGTCATGTGTTAGACAGAGAAAGAAAGAAAGAAAGAAAGAAAAAAAAAAAATGAAATTGCCAGAGAAGAACTCACTACCATAAAAATCTGTTTCCCCTGTGGCCATTTCTTAGGAAATCTGTAGCAGCTTCATGCCATAAGGAAAAAAAAATTACTGCCATGAATGTAAGCTTTGACATTAATTTATACCTAATAATGATAGGAAATTAATAATAGTCTAAGGTGCACAATTTGGTCATTCAAATTAATATCTGAAGTGCCTGACTTCAATGAGGACTGCTTATAAAATTCATTCAAAGCAGCATAAATTCTTTTTGTATCGTAACATTCAATAATATAAGATCTGAAACCTTGAACTAGAATAGGGATTTCTAAGGTTTTGTAAAAGACACAAGATGATATGAAATGACATGAAATGCTAACATATTCATTCTTCCTTTTGTATGTAAGAAGTAATAGATGTCAGACTTTCCATTTCAGCTGAACTTGCAATATTTATCTGTGATTTTTGACATGGCTTTTTGCACTTGGATTTTTTTTTTCTATTCTAATAAAGAAGAGAAAATGAGTAAGTTAAAGTACTAGAATTGAGAAGATTGTTGTGGGAGGATAAGCAGTGCATTATGCTGAAAAAGATGTACTTGGGGGAAGAAACAAGACCAGTTGCAGTATTTAAAGGACAATGGGAAGTAAAATTGTAGTATGTAAAAATGGATAAGTAAAGCTGTTCACAATTAGAATTGTATTCAGGTCTAATTTGTTTTGAAAGTGAATGATTCATGAAATTTTGTACCCATACATCCAAAGTTTATGAATGCAGTTTTATATGAGTGTGTGTATGTGTTGTATGCATGTGTGTTAACATGAATGCAATTAAGAACATTGTTGTATAGATGAAATTGGTTTGTATGAATACTCTGAATGCATAACTTGTGTGTATACTGTGTGTGGTTTGATCGACAATGTAAAATATGGCTAAGAACTCCCTTCTGGACATTAATATCATTGGAAAAAGACTGCTCTTCTGTGTCAGTTGCTTACTCTCCGTCCTTTATAAATATTATGGGACCTCACTCTTTGAGGAGATAAAAGAATGAGTTATGACCATGCTTGTCATGTACATTGCTAACTTTCATGTGAGAAATAGTGGATTTACTATGACAGTAGATGGTAACAATATAGAAAAGGTTGATCTTTTTAGAATTACGTTGATATAATTAACCTAGGTACTAGGTGAAGCAAATAAGATCATTTCAAACATATCAAATATGCAGTTGAAAAAGAAAAAAAGAAAATGCAACTTATAAAACCTATTTGTCATGCTTGCAGTACTATTAGCACATGCAATTTTTCTAAGATGATCTATATTGAAATATGAGTAAAGTATTAAAGAAATATAGGATAAGTAAATTGTTTAAAGCAATGTGCATTTTAATTAAGGTAACAGACAGAAGTAACCCTGAGATAGAAAAATGGAAAATTAACAACAAAAACTAAACTTTACAAGTTGAAGTTGTCATTTATAGTAATTACAATGCTTAGAGTTCAAGCATGTAAAAATAGTTATCATTACCAGAAGATCAGCAAAAGGTTTGTGTTAATTCTAAGCTGAAATGTAATTAAGCAAGAGTTCTTGACTTTTGTCAGTGGTTATTACATTACTTCAAAAATGAAACAGTTACATCATAATAATTTCCTAAGAACATTGAAGATTAAAAAAAAAAAGTACCTAGGACGAAGAAGCATTAGTAAGTTCTACAATCCTCAATTACTCCTGTTCCATCTTCTAACATCCATAAAATATTGCCTTACAGTATGTGCAAATGTTTAAATGGTTAAACATTGTTTCTCACATTTAGAGATAATAATGAAAGGGCAGTCGGTCGTTTGTTGACAGTTACCACCTTCAGAATCAGAACGAAAAGATTTGTTCAGCTTCACTTCAAGGCTTGCGAAGGTGGGCTGCTCGATGCCGTTTTGTCTCGAGAGCAGTGAGGTGCTTTTATGCTGTGATGTGTTTACTTAAGAGGCTGTTATCAGTATGTTTATTTTTTATGATGATGTATTTCATTCCTTGCTGTTTCTGAGGATTTATCACTTATTATTTTTTTAGAATGATTGGGTATGTTGAAAAGTAGTTATTTTCTTTTTATTTGTTTATTTTTTGATTGTTATTATCTTTTATCATTTCCAATGTTGGTTTTTGGTTTATTTGTTTCCTTTCTTGTTTCTTCACTCGTCTTTGCCGTTCATTAAAAAAAAAAGTTTTCTTGTGATACCTCGAGTGACCTTTGGAATATATTTGCTTTAATTACTATTATTACTGTTACTATGATATTCATCTATTTTATTGTAAGTGTTTTTTTCCAAAGGTGTTCCATTTTCTGGCTCTGGCTCTGGCTCTCTCTCTCTCTCTCTCTCTTTCTTTCTTTCTTTCTTTCTTTCTTTCTTTCTTTCTTTCTTTCTTTCTTTCTTTCTTTCTTTCTTTCTTTCTTTCTTTCTTTCTTTCTTTCTTTCTTTCTTTCTTTCTTTCTTTCTTTCTTTCTTTCTTTCTTTCTTTCTCTCTTTCTTTCTCTCTTTCTTTCTCTCTTTCTTTATGTTTATCATTATTTTCCTTTTGTGTCCACTATAATGTATTCTTCATATATATATATATGTATATATATATATATATATATATATATATATATATATATATATATATATATATATATATATATATATATATGTATATATATGTATAACAATTCCCTCTTTTGCCACCCCCAGTCAAAATTATTCTTTTGAACATTGTGATAGAACGGACAGTGATACATTGTATTAGAAATTCCTGTAATTATTGAATATTGGAGAAGTAGCCAGATTGAGCCTCATTCTTATCTCAAAGCAGTTATTACTTGAAATTGAATAATTATGTGTTCTATAAGATTCATTGCAGATTTAGTATATGTTAGATGTCGTGGCGGTGTTATATACTGAAAGTTATGGAGTTGATAACCTTAAATCATTCCTTTTCAAATGTTTAATATTTCAGTAGAGGATGCGAGTGTACATTTACTCTTTGGTGTGTGCAAAGAAATGTTTCCATTGGAGAATAAAGTTAATATTATTTTCGTGTATTTCTGCTGAATCCTATATTTCATTGCAGGTGTTATAGGACAATGGTTGTCTCGGTAACTACATTTTCTGTAGGGAGTTCAAAGTCCTGTGTCACAATTATTATGATATAAAATAATTGTATCACTAATGATAATTCCCATGGAGATTGTGTCTGATTAACATAGGATTTTTTTTTCGGAAAAATTATCATTTTTTACATTGATTACATATCTCGAGTTCCTGGCTTAAGTTTATTTTCATAAAGTGTTATTCAGTAGAGCATGTTTATTGATGTTGATTATTTTGATAATTATTGTTATTTTTTCTTAGGTGAA